TCTCCAGGCCGACCACAACAACTTTATAGGTGAACTCCCTACAGTTCCTCCAAGTCTTAATGTTCTAGACCTGAGCTGCAACTTGTTCAGCACTGGCAACCCAAACATCTGCCCTGCAAGGTCCTCACTTAAGTCTTTGCTGCTGGTATATAACAGGTTGCATGGTCGGGTTCTGAACTCAGCCATGAACTGTGGTAACCTGGAAATGCTTGATATCAGCATCAATTCTCTAGCAGGGCCCATTCCAGTGGATATGTGCAGCAGACTTCCGAAGCTTCAACATCTTCTTCTTTGGGGGAACAATCTTGAAGGCAGCATACCCGCTACAATCAGCAACTGCAGTGAGCTGGTGACACTAAATCTCAGTTTTAACAATCTCACAGGTGTCATTCCTCAGCAGATATCTGGGCTGAAGAAACTCTGGTTGCTGCTTCTGAGCAACAACATGATATCTGGAGCAATCCCCGCATCTATTGGAAGTATGTTGAGCCTTCGATCTCTCGTACTGGGTCACAACATGCTTCAGGGTGGTCTACCAAGTGAGCTTAGAAACAACAAGGGTCTATTCATGTTTTTAGTGAACGACAATCAGTTGACAGGACAAATTCCAGGCTGGATCGGCCGCTCATCAGAAGTGGATAGAGAAAAAATAACCGAAGTAACCTTCCCGTTTCTGATGGTGTTTGCAATCAACATAGAGGCATCCATCTGCAAAGCTTATGAGGAGGTTTTCATACTGCAAGGGATCCGCTTGGATGACTTTGAGCAACTTCCGTTTGCAACCAGATGCAGAAGATGGTTCTTTCTGGCACCTCCTGGTTTCAACTTAACAATATATACTCTGGTAAACAGTCCTTTGGCTATTGATCTCTCGCACAACAGCTTCACTGGAACAATCCCAGAGGAATTCGGTGGCATGCGAGACTTAAATGTGCTAAATCTCGCACACAACTTACTTACGGGGGCCATTCCTTCCACAATTGGAAACCTCAAGAACCTGGAGTGGCTAGATTTATCACAGAACTGGCTTGAATCAAACATCCCGGACTCGCTTGGCAACCTCACCTTCCTGAATTACTTAAACATCTCGAACAACAAGCTTTTCGGAAGGGTTCCACAGAGTGCTCAACTTGCATTATTCCCGGTGAGCAGCTATGAAGGAAACCCAGGCCTTTGTGGCTTCCCCCTTGCAGAGTGTGCTAGTTTGCATGATCCTTTTCATGATGATCACAAAGATGAAAACGATGATGACGGTCATGGCGATCAAACGATTCTGGCTGCCATTGTTGGTGGTGGTGTTTCATGCATCCTGTGGACCTTCGCAGTTTTCTTCAGTAAGAGATGGGAGGCACTGCTTAAACGTTTAATATAATGTATTATAATCTGATTGTTGTTTAAGACGAGTTTAGCTGGCAAGAAATTAATCCTAGGAGAGGATTTGTCCAGTTGAATTCCAAATAAAACTGAAGTAAAAAGTTGTGGAGAATTTGTCATGCTTGTTCATGTAAGCATTGATTAGAGTGAAACGGCATTGCTACTATGTGACGCTCAGCAAAATCCGACGTGAATCTTTGCTCGCTTAGCTCCCCAAAATGTGAAAACAAATTAATTAATTCATTGCTAACAAGTTTTCTTCCATCCATGGAAGCATTTCAATGGAGAAAGGTCAAGAGTATGACGAATAGATTGGAGAAGATCAACATCATATGGTAAAGCTAGTGAACGTTTTGACAAGGATAGGCAGATTTGTGGAAACCTTCTACCCCTAACACCAATGTCGAGGATTCTCAACTCCTGCCAGAACTCCAGTTCCCGAGAGCAATCTTCTATAAAGCAGTAAGTTTTTCTCTGATTATTAATCATTTGATCTTCTAATTCTTTCTTATTATTGTTAATTATTTTTCCGGCTAAGCAGCATCCAGCGTCCCGAGCTTGGTCCTTCGAAAGAAGTGGAACTCGACAGAGCTACTCATGCATTCATTGTAAAACATCAATGTACTTGTCCTCGTTCTTCTGGATCATACTTTAATTTCTCTTTTTGCTCGGGTGACTCCATTGCACACAATCTGACACACGCATTGGCATCATCATCCACAGTGACTGGAGATCCTCCGCTAGCTAGAATCCAAGAGCTGATGACCGGCTTCCATCCTTAGTTCCATTGAAAATTGAAATCCTTCGTCCACCACCATCCAAGCCAATCCAGATCCCAATGGAAGTAGCTTCCAATGTCCGAGAGCTCATCAAGCCTGCGAACTCCTCTCCACCACCACGACCGTCCATACTTCTCAGCTGCCTCGACCAGATTGCTCCTCGGGTCTACATGCCTTTCCTCTACTTCTTCGCACGATTCATCCCTTCCAACCAGCTCAAGCTATCCCTCTCCAAGACGCTCTCCCTCTTCTACCCGCTAGCCGGCCGCTACAAGCTTCTTCCCAATCAGGCCCTCGAGATCCAGTGTTGCGACTCCGGCATCGAGTTCTTCGAAGCGCTCGCCAGCAAATCTCTAGAAGAAGAACTTGGCAGCTTCCACGAGTTTAATCCCAGCCTCGACAGCCTAGCGTCGCGCGAGGCCTTCCCAACGCAAGAAACCACGGAACTTCCTCTTGTCTCGATCAAGCTCACTCGGTTCCTGTGCGGCGGCGCTTGCCTCCAGGTAGCGACTCACCACAGCGCAGCCGATGGAGTTGCCACAGCCGATTTCGTGAAAGCCTGGGCGCTGATTTCCTCCGGCCAGGAGCATCGCGTCAATCCGCCACACTTGGGAACGATCCCTGCTCCTGCAACCTGACGCAATTTCCACCGGAATCCACTCCAGCGGAGTACCAGATTGAGCCTCCGCCCTTCCCCGACACCAGCAATGTGGAGCGCTCAATCCTCTCCTTCACGAGCAGCGGCATTCGGTCGCTGCTAAAGAGCGACACCACCGCGACTCGATTCGAAATACTGGCGGCTCACCTCTGGATCGCGATCACCCGCGCCAGAACCGAGCTCTCGCTTCTTCAACCGCATGAGGAAACGAGGCTAGGCTTCGCGGTGAATGGGAGAAAACGTTTCAATCCTCCAATTCCCGATGGATTTCTGGGCAATGCGGTCTTTCTTGCAATCGCATCCTCCAGCATCGAGCAGCTTCTGGCAGGATCGATCGACGGCGTTGTGAATCTCATCCAAGAAGCCAAGCGCAGGATCACGCACCAACACATGCTATCCACAGCCGCCTGGATTGCATCGAGGAAGTGCCCGCTAGAGATTTCGCTCTCCTTCAACCACTCGGATCTCGTGATCTCGAGCTGGCAGCGATTGGAGATCGCTGGCGCGGATTTCGGAAGCGGCAAGCCGGTATTCGCTGGAACCATGGGAATTGTGTGGGCTGGAGTGGCCATCATCTTTCCCGAGATCGAGGGAAACGATCGACTTGTCGTCAACACGATGCTTGAGCGCGATCAAATGGATGTCGTTCGCAGAGATCCTGGGCTCATAGTTTAGGGCAACTAAAGCATATTCGCCTTCATTGACACAGAGTCAATTCTGACGTTGGCAACCAGCCATTCTCGATTCAACGTTGATCTTTGTTTATATATCAATAAACGTTTTACAATTCTTTCTTTACATTTCAACTCCCTCGTTTGCCTTTTCGTCCCAACTTGTTTTCGTTCCGCAGTTGTTTTCAGCAGCCACCAAAAATGTTTTCCAGCCATAGACATAAGAGATGTTGATGTCTAGAGAATACAAAAAAGAAAAACGCAAGCAAATGAAGTTAGTAATGGTGAAAAGGAAATACGAACTAGCAAGTAAAGCTTTACTGCTGGTATTTGTGTTTAAGCCGCTTGAACTTTCTTCATGACCAAGTCGTTCTCAAGGCCGGGAACACTCCTTTTCACACCACTCCTTCACAGCTTGTCAATCTTACTGCTGCAATTTTTGACAAATCCATGGGTGTTGCAGAACCTGACTGGTCCTTGCTTGTTTGCAGCGGAGGATCTCATTTCTAAGATGTTGGCCGTGGATCCGAAACAGAGGTCACCCCCTGTGACACAAGATCAAATGCTTCCATCGGCTGGTATCCTCCCTCTCCCTTAGCATCTTGTATAAAATTGCTCCTAGCCCCCAGACGTCGATGGCTGCCATGTAGAGCTCCAATCCCTGTTCTCCACCACCTCAGCTGCCATGTACTTCACTGTGCAATAGTTCTGTGATATCTCCTCGGGGTTATCTGTAGCAATGCCAAAGTTGCTGATCACCACTTTGTCATGCACGTTTAGCTTGAAAAGAATGCTTGCGATCTTGGTGAACCACGCCCCTCAAATCCATCTCTTTTGAGGGTCTTTACCAGCTGCTTGATGATTCTGGCTGCTTTCTCTTCAACCATCTTCTCGCAAATATGCAATATTTAAAAGACCACGAAATAATTTACCAAGTTTGGAATAAAGCCTTAAGAAAGGAAGGCAATATTTCCACCAACGAACGTAGCAACCACTCGAGGAAAAATGCCCGTGCCCTGTGCAAAAGGAGACTCGGACAACACCACAAAGTCGGCAAACTTTCCTGGAGTCAGTGACCCAACCAGATCCTCCAATGCAGCTGCATACGCAGCCAAGGATGTGTACCTGTGAATCCAGAAACAAGGACTGCATTTCAGTTTCTCATCTGTTTTCTCTTACCCCGCCACTGCGTCCCATGCAGAAATCCTTTCCTCGGGAATCCAGGGATGACTCCAGCCTGAAGGTGTTCTCTCCACGGCTGCGCGGATCCCTCCAAGTGGATTCACTGCTACAACCTTGAGGGAAATCATTCACGTAACGCCGAAGAAAAAGTATTTGACAGACTTACAGGCCAGTCGGATCCTAGAGCAACCACGCTACCGTTTCCGAGGAGGGAGCGGAGGTTATAAGATCCACGTGAGCGCTTCTCACCAAGTTTCTTCACGGCGTAGTAAGCATCATCTAGAAGTTGCTCTGGCTGTGCAAAAATCCAGGGTAATGGAGGCAGCATGCATTCATCTGCTTACTTGCATCGACGCAGATATTGAGAACGTCCCAAATTTAAGGTGCGCTCCAGGTGAAAGGTGCTGTGCATGCTCTACCTGCAATCCCACGAGTTCAGTGATACAAACGTAGATTTGTTCATCGTTACTCTCAATCGATGTCCTTGACGAGGATGTTTAGAAATAGCGTCAGCGTAAATTCCAAGCACATCATCGTTTGCTGCATCGCCAATCGCATGTACTGCTACCTGAAGTTCATGATTAGCATTGGATCAAGGATCATGGAAGTACCTGTAATTTCGACTCAAAAGCAGCACTCACGGACTCGGAAAGCCAACTCAGATCGGCCACACGGAGGCCAAAATTGTTCGGATCGTCTTCGTAGTGCTGCGCCAGAAACTTTAATACCTCAGAAAAGCTACTTAATATTTACGTGACACCTGGTGAAAGAGAGCTGTTCCCGAGCCCAGCGATCCATCGGCAAAAGCTTTGACCCCACCAATGTGAACCCAGTCGCTTATATGCCGTCCTCTCTCTTTTATCAGAGCCTGAAGAACAAATTCAAGTATCGTATTGTAAAATGACAATCAGAACTTACAGCGACTCGTGGCCAAGTCTCGAGTGGGAAGAAAAGTGCAGACCTCACAGTCATATTCCCGAGTGAGTCCATCCACGTGTATACCTCTAGAGGAAGAATTTAGACGAGGAACATGATGTTTAAAATGGAATTACCTTCAAAATCGTTCCATGATTCTTTGATTGATCCACCAGGAAAGTATGATCCGAAATCAACTACTGAGGTGACGCCTTTAGAGACAGCATAATGGCTTGCTCTTGCCAGAGCGTCTCTACGTTGCTCCAATGACGGTTTAGGAACACAAGAAGTTAACAATATCATAGCAGCATCAACGAGTAAACCAGTTGGAACTACAAAGAAGGATGTTAGAACCAACTTCTCTATAATTCAGATAGGAGAATAAAAACTGACCACCATCTGCATCTCTTACAATGCTCCCACCAGTTGGATCTTCTTTAACGCTCTTCAAATCACAAATATCCATGGCAACTTTATTTGCAAGGCCCATGTGACCGTCCATCCTGCTGAGCCACACCTGTGTGATACTATGAACGTCAGGTTTTTAGAACCTCAAAACTACAACAAAAACTCACCGGATTTTTTTCTGTGACACTATCAATCCAGGATGAATCTGGCCACTCACCTCCCCAGTGTTCGTTGCTCCATCCAAATCCTTGAAGCCACTCATTTGGCTCGAGCCCTTCAAAAGAAGCGATGAATATTATACACTCATGAAGAAAACAAATTCAAGAGCACCATGAGCAGCATGTTGAACTTTCTGTGTGAACTCTAGACGTGTGTGTACATCATGAAGATCCAATCTTACTAGCTGCAGGTAAGACGTTAATTTCCCTTGTTGTTTAAACTTAACATACCTGCAGGCCTCCAGGAATAAAGTGAACATGAGAATCAATGAAACCAGGCACCACAAACTGCCCCTCGAGATCACGGAATTCGGTATCAGAACCGGCAACCTCCTACAAGCATGAAATTTTGTGAAAAATATCTGTAACGAAGAAAACAAACGCTTACCTTGACAAATGAGAGAGAACCCACGCGAAGGATTCTTCCCCGTCTCACAGCCATCGACTCTGCCCATGGAACATCCTGGTCTGCAGTCCAGATACTGCAGTTCGTGATGACAAAATCAGCCGGTGCTCCTGGATTTCGTTTCCAAGATAGAAGAACTGCTACGGCTAAGGACAGCAGCACTATCCCAAGTGAAGTTGCTAACGAACCCATCACGACTGTCTAGGGCCAGTTAGCTTTAACATTTAAATACACACTAGCTGCTTTTATCTGCATGCAAAGGAGACCCGATTCGATAAAATGTACTCGAAAGGATACCTGAGAAGCGCCTTGTTTAAAAATTGATTTACAAAAGCCCATTGTCAGTGAAGCTTACATCCCAGAAATTTCTCCATGACACTGTCCAAAGCCTGAGACAAAAGCACCGTTTAACAGCAGCGAAATAGCTTCAGAATCTTTACCTTTGATGCGAACGCTTCCTTCCTATCGAGGAGCGCAGCCATTGCGACACTGGAGTCGTCAAAAACACTGTAAAAGCGCTTGTAGAACTCTGCTCTGTTAAAACCAAAGCCATAACCACGTAAAATCAACAGCATCCTAAAACTTGCTTACTGTGATGCTTCAGAAGCAATCGAGTCCATCTCTTCAAACTGTTTTGTCAAAAGTTCTGCAGCGACAGGACTGAGAGCATGCAATACGAGTGCTTCTAGTGAACGAGGAAATGTAGTCTGCAAATGCACAACTTGGTAGCAACAAACATAGCATACAGTGCCTGCACTTACCACCATGGTAAGAAAGATTCGACGAAGGCTTCGAGGGCTCGTATTTAGAAACACACTTGCGATAGGATCGTCCTCACAATTGCCATTGTTCACTGCGACCGCTACGCAGGATAGTATGACGTGAAGTTGTTTTGTTTCTAGTGGACTCAAGCTGTTCACGGTAAGATCTTCTGCTCCTTGCACGTCATCAAGATCAATTTCTACATCCACGTGAGGATTCCATCCGAGCATCGATCTCTGTAGAACAATATAAGTAAATTGCATTGGCAATTGTTGCTTGTTGACCTTTTCGGCGTCCAAAAGACTGGAAAACAAAAGAAGCTGTTAAAAAGCCAAGAGCAACATTTGCTAACCTCACTAAAATCCTCCGCAAATAATATGCATCCATGGGCGTGTCGAATGCGCAAGATTGTTTAGACGCCCACCAAAAGTTTACGGCAATGGTTAGAGCAGCACTGTCCACTTGGTGGAACCAGCCCTCTGGTATAAAAACTGCACTGCCAGCATCGACTACCAGAACCCGACTGTGTTTTGATGCATCTCTAAAGCGTGGATATTTTTGGTAGTCTGGTTCTACAAAATTCACCTCGCTGCATAGAAACAGGAATAAAAGAACTGTATCTTTTTCTATAAAAACAAATACCTATGGTTCGAAGCTTCTCCATACAGTGGCTTTGGGTACAGATATGGCGCCGCATCAGGAGGCCACAGAGTAACTGCAACAAATACAACACTGAAAAATGCCACGCATGAAAAAGCTCTACCTTTCTTCTGACCCGTCACGACTCCAAGAACATTGTGGTATGGATCATAATGTATGCTTGATCGAGAAGACGTCGAACTCATCCAAAGGTTGATGTTTGAGACCGCATCCTCGTCCAGGAACTCTGGCTGAGCATAAGTGTCACAAAAAAAGAAAAAAGTAGACGAAGAATATATGATACCAGGGATATCTCGGATTCCAGAGAAGCGAGCGGAGGTTTCTCGGTTGAGTCTTTCACGCATATAGGAACCTGCAGTGATATTCTTAATATCGGCAACACGGACAACAAGAGTAAATCTTAACCTGTGCCAGATAAAAGTGATCGTTGTGCTCTCCAGGTGACAAAACCATGTCTAGATATTCTCTGAAAGGCAACGCCACCTAGAAAAGAACAAGTTTAAGAACAAAAGAAAGGAGTCAAAGAAATAATACAAACTCTTTCATGGCTTCTAATATCACCGAAGAACGTAGACCCATCGGTGCTCACCATTGCTTGCACTAGAGGTTCTCCTGCGATTTCCTTGAGAAGCGGTCTAATCCCTGCTCTAGAACACGAAAATCCTCACCTTAAGATGCTCGACACCGCCAGTGGCTGGATTCCACCGCTCAAATGCGGGCCATTGCCGCAGAATCCCTGGAAAAACCTGCCAGAAGCTCTAACAATCGAAACAAATCGACGCGCCTCTTACCACGGGAATGTTTCGAGCTTCCATCTCCCGGAATTCGTCCCTCGACGGTGGGCGCCAATTTTCCGCCATAGCCAAACGTTAAAAATGAAGAACCCTAGCTAGGAAAGTGGATTTTGGGCTAGTGTGTGCGGCAATGCCACTCCGATCGCTATGGCGAATGCGGCAGCGTCGGCGACGCGCGAGATCTTCGACGGCATGGACGATCACAGCAAGAACAGGTTCTCCTGCATCGCGATGCTCATCGTCTATGCGCACAACGGCAGGCCCTTGGACTCCAAGAATCTCTTCGATCGCATCCCCGGTGGTAGAGATTCCGTGGCGTGGAGTTACCTCATCGGCGCATTTGTCAAGATCGGGGATCTTGAGCACGCAAGGCACGTCTTCGATCTCCTCCCGCGGTGGACCGTCGTCACATCCACGGCGATTGTCGTGGCGCTGGCGAAGCGTGGCAAGGCCGAGGACGCCAGAGCGATGTTCTTGGCGATGCCGGAGAGAGATCTCGTCGCCTGGAACGCGATGATCACCGCATATGCCCAGAATGGGAATCTCCAGGTGGCGCAGGCGATTGGATAACTTCGTCTCCTTGAACGCGATCATCCAGAGGCCAGGATGAAGCGCTGGCCAAGAAGGTCTTCGATTCGAAGCCCCAGCGAGAGGTGGTGTCACGGAGCGGGCGTGTGGAAGAAGCGCGAGCTGCCGGCCTTGAACATCGTCTGGTGGAACCTGATGATCCAGGCGTTCGCGGACTATCTCCTGGTGGACGAAGCCAAGGAGCGCTTCCATCCAGCGAGCACGACTTCGTGTCATGCACGGCCTACTCGCAGACCAGCCAGATCTTCCTCGCGAAAGCAGCCGTCGATCGAATTCCCCAGCGCGATGTGGTGTCCTGCCAGTCGTATGCAAAAGCATGGATCAAGCAGACTCTTCAACACTTTGAGAAGTTCCCCAATGATTTCAAGATATGCTTGGATTGTAAGATTAGCCATTCTCGATTTAACTCCACTTTTGATCCTTGTTTATATATGCATAGACTTTTTTCAATTCTTTCTTGAGGGGAGAACTTCCCTCGTTTCTTAAAGAAGAGCAGCATAGCTTTGTGTGTAACATCTATCTCGTTTACATCTATCTCGGCATTTGCTTGGACGTTTTTCATGTTACCTTTTAGCTTGAACCAGTTGAGATTGTTCTCGGCAGCCACCAAAAAGGTATTTCCACACAGAGACACGAGAGATGTCGATGATGTCCGGAGGATACAAAAACGAACCCAAGCAAATGAAGTTAGTAACTGCGAATAGGAGAAAGAGGAAATGGCAAGTGTGCTTACCGGACTGACTGCTGCCACTTTTAAGCCGCTCGAACTTTCTTCACGACCAAGTCCTTGTCGAGGCCAGGAGCACTCCTTTTCGCACCACAGGGCCTCCTCCACGTCCTGTAGATCCTACTGCTGCTGCTTCTGCAAAGCTTGACAATCCATGGGTGTTGTAGAACCTGATCGACTGTCAGCCTTTGTTTCGGATCCACAGCCAGCATCTTCTCAAGGAGATCCTCCGCTACAAACGAGAAAGGACCAACCGGGGATGCCCCCTGTCGCACACGATCAAATGCTTCACTCGGCTGATATCCTCTCTTTCCCAGCATCTCGTATAAAATCGCTCCAAGCCCCCACACGTCGATAGCTGCTGTGTAGAAGCTCCCATCCTTGTTCTCTGCCACCTCGGGTGCCATGTACTTCCCCGTGCCACAGTACTGCGACATCTCCTCAGGGTCGTCTGTGGCCAAACCAAAGTCACTAATCACCACTTTGTCGCGCGCGTCTAGCTTGAAAAGGATGTTGCCCGGCTTGAGATCCCGGTGAACTATGCCTCTCGAATGCATCTCCTTGAGGGTCTCTGCCAGCTGCTTGATAATCTGAGCTGCTTCTTCTTCGCTCATCTGCCCGGAAACGCGCAAGCGATCAGCAAGACTAGATCCACATAGTTCCATAATAATACTCCCAAAACACTGTCCTCCATCTCTCTCCTTGATGAAATCTTTGAAGGAGACAACTCCAGGGCAGCCCCGGAGCTTGGCCATGATCCCAACTTCTCTCTCAGCGTCGCTCCCTGATCGAAATGCCTTGGCTGCATATGACTTGTGACCGTCCAGATTGTGAAACACGAATACATGCCCCTGGCCGCCACACCCCAGCGTCCTACCTTTCTCGAAACCTCGCTGCCCCAACATATGAATGCTGAGAAGCTCTTTGCAATCTTCCTCCCTAAACTCACTTACCACCGCCATCGCTTCACAAGCTTAAGAAAAAAAACCCTAGCTTCTTCTACCGAATTTAACTACATGGCTGAGATGGCGTTTGATCGACGGCGACGATGCGCTGTGTTTTCTCAAATAGTATAACGCTTAAGAAAGGACACCAACGAAAGTAGAAACTACTCAAGGAAAAACTGCTGAGGATGGGTACCTGTGAATTCAAAAACAAGGACTACATTTCAGTTTCTCATCATTTTTCTCTTACCCTGCCACTGCGTCCCAAGCCGAAATCCTTTCCTCGGGAATCCAGGGATGACTCCAGCCTGAAGGTGTTCTCTCCACGAGTGTGCGGATTCCTTCAAGTCGATTCGCTGCTACCACCTTGAGACAAAACCATTCACGTAATGCCGAAGAACAAGTACTTGACAGACTTCAGTGGGATCCTAGAGCAATCACGCTACCATTTCCGAGGAGGGAGCGGAAGTTATAAGATCCGCGCGAGCGCTTCTCGCCAAGTTTCTTCACAGCGTAGTAAGCATCATCTAAAAGTTGCTCTGGCTGTGCAAAAATCCAGGGCAATGGAGGCATCATGCATTCATCTGCTTACTTGCATCGACACAGATATGAACTTCCCAAATTTGTGGTGTGCTCCAGGTGAAAGGTGTTGTGCATGCTCTACCTGCAATCTCACAAGTCAAGCGATACAAACGTAGATTTGTTCATCGTTACTCTCAATCGATGTCCTTGATGGGGATGTTTAGAAATAGCATCAGCGTAAATTGCAAGTACGTCGTCGTTTGCTGCATGCCAATCGCATGCACCGCTACCTAAAGTTCATGGTCCATTGGTCAGTTTGTGCCAAACACAGTTCAGAGGATGTAAGCCAGCTTCTGTCGATCACAAAAAGTGCTTTCTTCCATAGCGTCGGGGCCGCGATAATGGCTTGTCGAAATGACAAAGCCCCGGATGGAGTGGCCACCTTGCATGACACTGGAGACAAAACCACCGTTTAACAGCATCGAAATAGCTTCAGAATCTTTACCTTTGACGCGAACGCTTCCTTCCTATCGGGGAGCGCAGCCATTGGGACACTAGAATTGTCAAAAACATTGTAAAAGCGCTTGTAGAACTCTGCTCTGTCAAAACCAAAGCCGTAACAACGTTAAATCAACACCATACTGTGATGCTTCAGAAGCAATCGAGTTCAAACGTTCTGCAGTGACAGGACTGAGAGCATGCAATACGAGTGCTTGTAGTGAACGAGGAAATGTAGTCTGAAAATGCACGAATTGCTAGCGACAAACATAGCATACAGTGCCTGCACTTACCACCATGGTAAGAAAGATTAGACGAAGGCTTCGAGGGCTCGTATTTAGAAACACACTTGCGATAGAATCGTCCTCACAATTGCCATTGTTCACTGCGACCGCTACGCAGGATAGGATGACGTGAAGTTGTTTTGTTTCTAGTGGACTCAAGCTGTTCACGGTAAGATCTTGTACTCCTTGTACGTCATCAAGATCACTTTCTATATCCACGTAACGATTCCATCCAAGCATCGATCTCTGTAGAACAATATAAGTAAATTGCATCGACAATTGTTGCGTGTTGACCTTTTCGGCGTCCAAAAGACTGGAAAACAAAAGAGAAACTGTGAAAAAGTCAAGAGCAGCATTTGCTTACCTCATTAAAATCCTCCGCAAGTAATATGCATCCATGGGCGTGTCGAATGCGCAAGATTGTGTAGACGCCCACCAAAAGTTTATGGCTAGAGCAGTACTGTTCGACTGTGTTTTGATGCATCTCTAAAGCGTGGATATTTTTGCTAGTCTGGTTCTACAAAGTTCACCTCGCTGCACAGAAACAGGAATAAAAGAAGTGTATCTTTCTCGAAGCTTCTCCATAAAGTGGTTGAGTACGATAACTGTTACAAAAAGAAAGTACACGAAGAAAATATGATACCATGCAGATGTCATTCCAGAGAAGCGAGAGGAGGTTTCTCGGTTGAGCCTTTCACGCGTATAGGAACCTGCAGTGAAATCTTTAATATCAGCAACACGAACAACAAGAGTAAATCATAACCTGTGCCAGATAAAAGTGATCGTTGTGCTCTCCAGGTGACAAAACAATGTCTAGATATTCTCTCAAAGGCAACGCCACCTAAGGAAGAACAAGTTAAGAACGAAAGAGAAGAAATCAAAGAAAAAATACAAACTTATTCATGGCTTCTAATATCACTGAAGAACGTAGAGCCATCAGAACCTGACTCGATCCGACCGCTGCCAACGGCTGGATCGAGTTAACGGGCGAGCCACAGCCCGTTGAGTTTGATTGCTGCTCACCATTGCTTACACTAGAGGTTTTCCTACGATTTCCTTGAGAAGAGGTCTAATCCCTGCTCTAGAACACGAAAATCCTCACCTTAAGATGCTCGACACCGCCAGTGGCTGGATTCCACCGCTCAAATGCGGGCCATTGCCGCAGAATCCCTGGAAAAACCTGCCAGAAGGCTTACTTCGAGCTTCCATCTCCCGGAAGTCGTCCCTCGACGGTGGGCGCCAAATTTCCTCCAAAGCCAAATGTTAAAGATGAACCCTACCTAGGAGGTAAGAGGATTTTGGGCTAGTATATGCGGCAATGCCAGCGCTTGTCCTGCCGATTGATCGCCACCAGAAGCAAGAGCTCGATCACATTGCGGCAGGAGCAAGAATTCGTCCAGCTAGTGCGTTCTTGCACCGCTTCCAGGGATATTTCGCGCGGGCGGCGCGTGCACGCCCAGATCTGGAGCCATGGCCTCTCCACCGACGTCTTCCTCTGCAATGCGCTGCTCCACATGTATGGCGAATGCGGCAGCGTCGGCGAGGCCCGGGAGATCTTCGACGGCATGGACGATCACAGCAAGAACAGGTTCTCCTGGATCACAATGCTCACCGTCTACGCGCACAACGGGAGGCCCTGGGACGCCAAGAATCTCTTCGATCGCATCCCCGGCGGAAGAGATTCCGTGGCGTGGAGTTGCCTTATCGGCGCATTTGTCAAGATCGGGGATCTTGAGCACGCAAGGCGTGTCTTTGATCTCCTCCCGCGCTGGACAGTCGTCACATCCACGGCAATCCTCGTGGCGCTGGCGAAGCGTGGCAAGGCCGAGAACGCCAGAGCGATGTTCTTGGCGATGCCGGAGAGAGATCTCGTTGCCTGGAACGCGATGATCACCGCATATGCCCAGAATGGGAATCTCCAGGTAGCGCAAGCAATGTTCTTCCGGATGCCAGCCAGGAACTTCGTCTCCTGGAACGCGATCATCGACGGATGCGCGCAGGGCCAGGATGAAGCGCTGGCCAAGAAGGTGTTCGATTCGATGCCCCAGCGAGAGGTGGTGTCATGGACGGCGATGGTAGCAACATATAGCCAGAGCGGGCGATTGGAGGAAGCGCAAGCTCTCCTCTCCAAGATGCCAGCCTTGAACATCGTCTCTTGGAACGTGATGATCCAGGCGTTCGCGGACAATCTCCTGGTGGAGGAGGCCAAGGAGCGCTTCGATCGAGCGCCCGAGCACGACTTCGTGTCTTGGAACGCGATCATCACGGCCTACGCGCAGACCAGCCAGATCTTCCTCGCGAGAGCGGCCTTCGATCGAATGCCCCAGCGCGACGTGGTATCCTGGGCGACGATGATCCAGTCGTATGCCCAGGAGGGGCAGCCCAGCATGGATCAGGCGAAGGAGATATTCGACAGGGCGCCGCAGAGGAACGTCGTCTCCTGGAACGTGATGATCACGGGCTACTCGGCGAGCGGCCGGATCAAGCAGTCCCGGGGGCTGTTTGAGAGGATGCCAATGTGGAATCTCATCTCCTGGACGAACGTGATCGTGGCGTGCACGGTGGCCGGCGAGATCGACGCCGCCAGGAGGGAATTCGCCGCCATCCCGGATCAAGCCACCGACCTCCAGTGCTCCACCTCGATGCTCTCCGCGAATGCCAGCGACGGGCAGCTCGATAGAGCCAAGGCTGTCTTCGACACGATGCCGCAGAAGGACGTGATCTCCTGGGCGGCGCTTGTCGCCGGCTACCTCCAGAACCAGCAGCTCGCGGAGGCCAAGCGCGTCTTCGATCGGATGCCCGCCACCAATGCCGTGTGCTGCAACACGGTGATGGCCTCCTTCGCCAGCGCCGATCGGATGCCCGAGACGCGATCGCTCTTCGACCGGATGCCCGAGAGGACGCTCGCCTCCTGGTCGACGATGCTGGGCGGCTATGCCCAGTCGGGGCACACCGCCTCCGCCAAGAGCTTCTTCGATCGAATGCCGCAGAGGGACGTGATCGCCTGGAACTGCATTGTGGTGTCCTACGCTCGCAATGGTCACGTCCGCGAGGCCCGCGCGATCTTCTCCGCCATGCCCGAGCACGACGAGGTCTCCTGGACAGTGGCGATCGCGGCGTGCGCTCACAATGGCTACCTCGAGCAGGGGCTGGAGCTCCTGAGCTACATGCTCCTGGCAGGGATCTCTCCCGACGACGTGACTTTCCTCTCGATCCTCGCGGGTTGCAGCCATCTCGGGGAGCTCTCCAGGGGGGGAGAGTTCTTCCGGAGGATGGTCGGGGATTTCTTCCACGATCCGAACCGGGAGCACTACTCGAGCGTAGTGGACATGCTGGGGCGTCTCAAGCTGCTGGATCAAGCGCGGGAGCTGATCGATACCATGCCTTTCGTCCCGGACGCGGTGGCGTGGACGGCCTTGCTGACGGCGTGTAAGCAGCACAGTGACACTCAGGGGAGCTTGCGAGCCGCGGAGATGGTCTCGCGCCTGGCGCCCAGGAGTGGATCGTCCTACGTCTTGCTCTCCAACGCATTCGCGAGTGGAATCGCTAGCCGCGGGGAGCTGGTTTCCAAGATTGATGATCACGACCCGCTGGAAGCATTCGATTGTTCTTGAGGGCGCTCGCTCGAATTTCTCACTGATCGACGAGTTCTCTGGAGTTCGTTTCATTGGAAACACTCTTACCAATCAATTATCGAAACAAGATCGATCGATCGAAGCCCATGTCACTCATCGATTATCAAATTGGCCACACAGGCCCGAGCCCCAGCATTGACGAGCGTGCGCACCATCCCGCCGTGCTCCAGCGCCAGCGCCATATCCAGCGCGCTCAATCCCTCCCGCGTCACACCATTGATCTCGATCATCTCGCAGCCTACCAAGATCTTCACCACTTCCCGGTGCCCGGATTCCACCGCGCAATGCAGCGCACTGTAACCCTGCTCATCGATCGCGCACGCCTCCTCCTTGCTCTGGCAGCTCTCCAGCAGCCGCTTGACGATCTCAGCATGGCCTTTGAATGCCGCGCAGTGGAGAGCAGTCCATCCATACCGATCGCAAGCATTCACAGCGGCGCCACGCTTGAGACATCTCCTCACGCCCCGCAAATCGCCCGACCAGGCGGCGTTGCGGAGGAGCTCTTCGAGATCATCCCCTACCGGCGCCGGCGAGGCCACATTCCCTGGAACCTGGAGTAGGGCAAACAAACTCTCCTGCCCTAACTCAACGGCCTCATCGTAGGCCGTCCGTCCATTCCAATCGACGGCTCCCCGATCGGCGCCACATTTGATGAGGAGCTTGGCTATGGCGACGTTGTTGCCCTGCGTCGCCGCGAGGTGGAGCGCCGTCTTCCCGTCCACCGTTCTAGCGCTCACATCGGCGCCGCTCTGTGCCAGGATCTGGACGCTATCGGCGTTGCCGCCGATCGCCGCTAGATGCAGCGCTGTTCTCCCGTCGCCGATTGGGGCATTCACGTCGCAGATCTTGCTCAGCACCCCTAGCGGCTCCAGGGATCCACTGCTCGCGGCGTGATGGATCGGGCGCCAGCCGCTGGAATCCGCGCGCTCCGGATCGGCGCCGCGCGCGAGCAGCATCTCCAATATTACGGTGTGGCCGACCATCGCCGCGCAGTGGAGCGGGGTGTGGCCGTCGGCGTTCATCGTCTTGGAATCCACGCGAGCGCCGAATTCTAGCAGGAGCTGGACCATGTCGGGGCGCCGGCTCTGGATCGCGAGGTGGAGCGCCGTCAATCCCTGCGTGTTCCAGGTATCCGGATTGGTGCCGCTCTCAAGAACCTGGCGGGCCTCGTCCATGGCGCCGCGGATTATCGCATCGCGCAGCACGATCCCGCCGATAATCCGGACCTTGAGGCTCTCATCGGTGTAGACGACGCGCTTCTGGGGTGTGAACCACTCCTTGGATTTCCCAGCGCCGGCGACCACCACGGATTTCACCTCGAATCCATCCACGCTGAAGAACCGCGACGAGGAGGAGCTAGGGAGGAGCGAGATTTCCAGATTGACGCCTCCCAGCGGCGGGATCATCCCCAGCGAGGGCTTGACGCTGTATTTGCTGGCGACCATGGGCTGGACCTTGAATGCCACGGGCATGGTGTGGAGGACGCTGTGGAGGTGGACAGTGGCCGTGTGGGACGAAGATCCATCGATGTGGTCCTCGAGATGGAGCCTTACCTCTGTGGGATCGACGACCACCAGCCGATCCATGGCGCGATTGATCCCTTGAAGCGTGAGAATCATCCAGGGCAAGAGGACTCGCTGTCAAGCCTTGGGATTCATGGCGCGATGCGAGCGAAGACGACACAAGGGGGCGATATTGCAAATGCATAGCTTCGTAAATTAGGGTTCTTCGCAAAGGCGGGAACTTTGGGCTAGGGCTTTTGGGCGGAGGCGATGGAGAATGCTACGATCCAGCCAGGCGATGGCGTCGCCAGGCGCCGGGAAGGTATCCCTCTCCTCGCTGCTCAGCGCATTGAAATCCTGCGGCAGCTCCAGGGACTTGGAGCGAGGGAAGATCCTCCACTCTCGCGCGCTCGACTCCGGCTATGCCTCGAACACTCTCGTCGCCACAGCGCTCCTCCACATGTACGCCAAATGCGGCGCCATGGCCAGCGCTCACGCGATCTTCCAGGCGATGCGCTCCCACGACGTGGTCAGCTGGACAGCGCTCATCCTTGGCTACGCCGACAATGGCCGCGGCCATGTGGCGCTCGATCTCTTTTCTGCAATGCGGCGCAGTGGCTGTGATCCAAACGCCAGGACGTTTGTAGCGGTGATCCTGGCGTGCTCGAGCATGGCAGCGGTGGACCGACCCATGGCGATCGAGAAGGGGCGATGGATCCACGAGCAGGCGGCCCAGCACGGCTTCGACACGGATAGATTTGTCGGGAACACGCTGGTGGACATGTACGCGAAGTTTGGAAGCATGGCCGACGCTGCCAAGGCTTTCGATCGAATGCCACAGCGAGACGTGGTGGCATGGACGTCACTGATGCTCGGCTACGCGGCCGCCGGCGAGGGGGAGCTTGTTCTCGAGCTCTTCTCGCGGATAAGATCGCAAGGCTGTGCTCCGGATCGCCTGTGCTTCACTGCTGCTCTCACGGCATGCTCGATCGTCGCTGGGAAAGAAACTGGCAAAAGAATCCCAGTGCCAGAAGCTCATCCAGCGATGGTGGTGAAGCTCGAGAGCTTGCGAAAGGTGATGGAGATTCACTCCCAGGCCGCTACCTCCGGGAAGAACTTCGACGTGTGCCTGAGCAACACGCTGGTGGATGCCTACTCCAAATCCGGGAGCTTGCTGGATGCTCGCCGCGTCTTCGATCGGATGCCTCGCCACGACGTTGTCTCGTTCACGGCACTGATGCTCGGAGCGGTGGAGGGCGATCGAGCGGAGACTGCCCTCGAGCTCCTTGGATCGATGAGAGCACGGGGCTGCGAGCCCAATGCAAGAACTTTCGTGGCGGGACTGATGGCGTGCACCAACTTGGCAGCCAAAGAAGAAGCTCGGTTGGAAATACTCCCGGATGGTACAAGGATGGCGTTCAAGCTCGCGAGCCTGGAGAGAGGAATGGAGCTCCACTCGCAGGCCGCCAAGGAACGATACGACGTCACGGACATGTTCGTGGGGAACACGCTGGTGGATTTCTACTCCAAGTGCGGCAGCCTCCAGGACGCGACGAAAGCTTTCGACAGGATGGCGGAGCATGATCTGGTCTCTTGGAACGCCTTGATCGCGGGGCACCTGGACAACGGCCTGGACGAGCGAGCGCTGCAGCTCTTCCTCGAGATGGACCGCCGAGGCTGCTCGCCGGATCCAGCCTCGTACACCTCGGCCCTCGCGGCCTGTGCCGGGCTCGCGTCTCTGGGAGCCGCGCGAGACATCCACTGGCGACTCTGCAAGGCCGGGCTGGAGACTGACGCCTTCGTCCACAACGCGCTGGTCGACTTCTACGGCAAGTCCGGCAGGATGGCCGACGCCGAGCTCGTCTTCCAGTCCCTGGCGAGCGTCGACGTTGTGACTTGGAACGCGCTGGCCGCGGGGCTTAGCCGCCAGGGGAGCTACCGCCTGGTGGTGGATCTCTTGTGGGCGATCAAGGACCAAGGCCTGGAACCCGACGGTATCACTTTCCTGGCGCTTCTCGCGGCCTACGGCCATGCCGGGCTGGTCGACCATGGACGCCGGGCCTTCGCCGCTATGGTGGAGACTTACCGGATAGAGCCGGGCATCGAGCACTACCACTGCCTGGTGGACATGCTGGGGAGAGCGAACCGGCTCGAGGAAGCCGTGGCGGTGGTGTCGGCAATGCCGCACAGGCCGAGCTCCGTGACTTGGACGACCGTGCTGAGCGCCTGCGTCAAGTGGAAGAACTTGGGCGTCGCGAGCGTGGCGTTTGAGTCGCTGCTGGGGATTGATCCGGACGGGCCAGCGGCGTACGTGTTGATGGCGAACGTCTATGGCAGCGCTGGGATGGCGGAGGAGGAGGCCAAGCTTCTAGAGCACGTAAGACGATGAAGATCTTGTTATCTAACTCCAGGGACACCGGTCGAAGCATCGATACATTAGTACGCTGTTAGAGAACTCCACAAGATCTATGAAACAAAACATTGATCGATTGATACATTAGGATAGGAAGAACAAGAGGAGCTCTTCGAGATCTTCCACAAGATCTTCTAACTCCAGGAGAGTCGTAGTCAAGAGAAACAAAACATATTGATACATTAGTAAGGTGCCCTTCGAGAAGAACAAGAGGAGCTCTTCGAGATCTTCCACAAGATCTTCTAACTCCAGGAGAGTCGTAGTCAAGAGAAACAAAACATATTGATACATTAGTAAGGTGCCCTTCGAGAAGAACTTAACTCTGTAACTCGGCTTTTCCTCGCTGAAAGAAAAGAGAGAAGTTACATGCTTGTGACAAAATAGTGAAACTTACTTGAAGCTATAGTCTTGCATTAGTCGAGAAGTGAATTTTCTTTTTCTTTAGCTACATAGCTCTGCCTTAAACAAGAGTCCCATCAAACACCGTCCCGCCCAAGAGAAGAACAAGAAAAAAACTTACAATCATCCTCAAGTGATCGCCACTGCCACTCCAATCCATTCCACATCCAATCCTTCCTTTTCACTGCGGTGGAGGCTGCATAACCGGCGGCCTCCCAGGGAACACCGGCGGCCCTCCAGGCCTGGGCGGCGCACCTCCAGCGAAATTGGGCGGCGGCATCCCGGGCCGCGGCGGCGCTCCCATGGCTGGCGGCGGACCCCCGGGCCGCATCATCGGCGGAGGAACCATCGGCCGCTGCCCAAACGGCGCCATCCCCGGCCGGATCACCCCCGGGGTCATGGGCGGCGGCCGCTGTGGAGGAGGATACGTCACCGGCCCCGCCGAGACCGTGGGTGGCGGCCGCATCAGACCGGGAGCTGGGCCGCCCACGCCCCGCCCAGGCCCCGCTAGCCCCGGCTGCGCCGCCATGGGCATCGGCATCCCCCGCCCGGCCGCGCGCCCCATTCCTTGCCCTGGCGGCGCGATCCCCGCCCCCTTGGACTGCTCCTGTGGCGGCGGCCCCTCCACTGTCATGGACACTACCTCCTCGCCGCGCAGGAGGATCAGGCCGAGCGTCCGCCGATCCTCTCGCTCCTCGCCGCCCTGCTGCTTGCCCGCGCCCTTCTTGGGCGGTAGCCGCCGGAACTCCTCCGTGTCGCCCAGCACGAAGTTCATGTGGCGATCGAAGGCCATGAACTTGCCCACCAGCTGCCGCCCGTCCTGGATCGTTACCCGCATCCTGTAGTTGATGTAGTTGAGCATCTTGGAGCTCTTGGAGAGCGACATCGTGGCCGGGAGCGCGGTGCGCCAAGAAACCTAGCCCAAGAACCCTAAAACGCTAGCAATGAAAGAGCCCTAAAAACCTAAGAGCCATATATAAAGAGGTTCTAAGCAAGATCGCCGCCGTCCACGGAGCCCTGCATCCAAGGGCTGAGAGAAGTCTCTCTCTCTCGACATCAAAGTTTCAAGCGTTTGAGATTCTTTTGATGCGAGTGAGATCACATGAGATTTCTAGAGCGATGCCAGCTGCTGCACGCTGATGGGATCATTGAATTCCTGGCCTCCAAAATACGTGAAATTCGCGACGATGTTGTTGGCCCTCGCGGTGGTGTGGAAGGAATCAAAGAAAATGCGCTGGTCGTAGTCCCGGCAAGATGGAAAGTGAGGCAGGCATTGAATCAAACCATTGTACCGTCCTTTGCCGCAGCACGCAATCGAGTTGAATGTAAACCCTGAGATGGAAGAGAAGAACTTGTGAGAAGAACAGAGTTTCGAATCTGGGGTGGTTTATACCGAAATTCGAGGGATTGTCGTAGATTGTGGTGACTTCCTTATACGAATCCGTGTGGACGATTTCCAGCCCCGAGAGCGTCTTGCGCAGCTTCTGGATCAAAGGCTTGAATTCCTTGTTGAAATTGATGGCGAAGTCGTTGACAAACTGGATGCATTCCCCGTTCTTGCTGCCGTAGAATGCGAGCGAGCGAGGGATGCAGCCAATCGGCGGGATGTTGAAGGCGATGAGCTTGCGCACACCAATATCGTAGAGCCTCTGCGAGGAAGAGTTTAATCTTTTGGAAGCCAGTGTGGTTTGCGAGAGATCTATGTGAGATGAATCGTTTGGCACACAAACCTTTACTTGTTCCGCGTATGTGGAGATGAGAAGGTCCTGGAACTGTTTCGGGGGGAGCTTGGCCTCCTTGGTGGCCTTGAAGAGATAATTGTTGATGTAATCGTTGCTGCCAACGATGGTGGCGACGATGGAGCTCGCGATCAAGTTCTCCGCCGCCCCAGGCCCGATGACACCAGCAATCTGTTTCTTCACCTTCGCCAATTGCGTGACTTGCTCCGACAGTGGAATCCTCCCAACCTGTGATTGTATGTCCAGGAAAAAGAACTTGGATCAGTGGGAGAATTCACAACTTTGGAAAGAGAGAAATGGATCGAATTTACAAAGATGTTTCCGGTGGCGTCGATGATTCCGCAGCCCGCGGAAGCGAAATTGACGCCTTGGAGATAATTCACGGCAGTCAGTGATGGATCCAGGAATGCCGGAGGGAGTGGAAGTCCAAGCAATGCAGCTGAAAAAACCAAGAAAACGACATAGATTTCATGAATCTCTTGGGGAAAAAATAAAATAAAAAACAGAGGAAGAGAGAAAGAAGATCTTGCCGAGCCAATCCGCGGAAGTGCGACCGTTTGTGAATCTCCCGGTCGGCATTCTCGTGTCGAACTGCATGCCATACGGGGGGAAATTGCTCTTGGCGATCGTGACAATGTAATTGTTGTTGCCGGGATCCACGAGCGAGTCTCCGATCACGAAAAACGCAGGAACTTGGGCCGCCTTACAAAATCCTGGAAATCGGGAGAAAAGCGTCAATTGCAGGGCGATCAAGAGCAGGAAAAGCTGCTGAGCCATGGCGACCGGGGATGAATTCACGATGGATGGTCACCGAGATTTCTTATAGCCAGCCACGAAATCGTCGTTTACTCTGCTCCACAGAGGCCCAATTGATCGGTCGATTGATTCTTAAATGGAACCGCGATCGTGGAATCATCGAGGTTGGTGTTCGTTATTTCTGATCCAGCCACAGGATTGGCAGCGCGAGCCCGATCACTGCAAGAAAAGAGTGCTTTTTCTTTATGAAATGGAATTTCCCCATTTAAGGCATTTGGTGAAATCCGAGAGACAGCTCAAAAAGATCCCTGCGATGCAGCAGAGCCTCGTCGGTGTTTATATCTGCCGCTCGCTCGTTAACATCAGCACCCTTTTCGCGCCCCACCGTTGGATCTCGCCACCTTTGTCTACATATAGAGGGCGAGATGTTAGGGTTTATAAAAAGGATCCATCAATGGTGAAAGTTAAGATCGTTAAGGATGGCCCAAAGGAGAGAGATGCTTTGGCTCCAAAGAAACCAGTGGTGATGAAGAAGCCGCAGGCAATGGAACTAGAGGAGGCCAAGATCAAGGATCATGTTTCCATTCCTAGCGAAACAATGACCTCAAGAACAATCTTGAAGCAGCAGCAGGCTATGGAATTAAACAAGGAATTGGCTCCAGAGATCAGGGATCCTGTTTCCACTCCTAGCAAAACAATGGCCTCAAGAACAATCTCTGGATCATCTAAAACGAACTCCACCAAGGTGAAGGAAGGGATGATAAGGGATCCACCCAAGCTAAAGAGATTCACGGACTACATCCAGTTTGGCGACGAGGCCCCACGGTGCCGCCTCACTGCTCCCAAGAGAAATCTAAGAATCGAAATTCCCTAGAACTCGTACGGTAGAGCACTTATCGTACGGTAGGGCTTTTGCCTGTTACCCTGTCAAAATTTGAAAAAAGGGATGAAATATAAATGTCATTGTTTTCCACGCGGGAAAGTTTTTAGTAGGTTTCGCGGTCGATTCCGGCGAGGAGATAGCTTTCCGCGATCGGACGGTCCAGCTACTGCCACGCCAGCAACGACGAGCTACCGAATTAGCATATTCGCTGCCCCTGGAAAAAGAGCATATACCGAGGAAGGAGGGGTTTTTTGGGGGTAAAGGAGGAACAGCACTTGATCTCTGTCGGTGTGCTCTCTCACGGGCGCGCTCCGCTAGGTTTGTACCTCGCGATCCCAATCCCTATCTCTCGGCAGCGCATGCGAGCTGAGATCACTCGCTAGGGCTTAGATCTGTGCGCGTCCTAGGTCGCTGAGGTCTCTTTTGCGCAGGATCTCTCGGCTTGCCTCGCCGATGCCAGTGAGGGATCGATAGGTATTGCGTGGATTTCGGGGAAGGAGGAGAAATGGGGCAGGATTCGCTGATCTACAGCTTTGTTGCGCGGGGCACTGTGGTTCTCGCCGAGTACACGGGTTTCTCCGGTAACTTTAGCACCATCGCCATTCAGTGCCTCCAGAAGCTTCCCGCCAACAACAACAAGTTCACGTACACTTGCGACAAGCACACTTTCAACTATCTGGTCGAGGATGGATTCAGTGAGTTTTTTCTTCTTTTGTTTAGTTTTGTTCGTTCGATCGATCGATCGCTTGGCTCACTGGCTATTCGTTTTTTTTTATCTCTTGTGATCTTGTGCAGCTTACATGGTTGTGGCTGACGAGGACTTTGGAAGGCAGATACCATTCGCGTTCCTAGAGCGTGTCAAGGAGGACTTCAAGCGTCGCTATGGGGGAGGAAAGGCTGACACTGCCATTGCCAACAGCCTAGACAAGGAATATGGGTAAGTTCGTTTTCTCCTTTTGTTTGGTGGTCCAGCTCGCTTTTCGTTTTCGATCCAGGCCGAAGCTCAAGGAACACATGCAGTACTGCGTCACTCATCCCGACGAGATGAACAAGATCGCCAAGATCAAAGCCCAGGTCTCCGAGGTGAAAGGTATCATGATGGACAACATCGAGAAGGTACTTGTCTAGTTTCTCGATTGAGGGATGGATTTGTGAGCTCTGCTTCGCCGCTACAGGTGCTGGATCGAGGCGAGAAGATCGAGCTGCTCGTTGACAAAACCGACAATCTGCGCTTCCAGGTAACTCAACACCCGCGTTTCTAGATCAAAGTTCTTTCTTTGACTGATACACACAATTCCGTGTTTTTTTTTTTTTTTGTTCTTCCAGGCTGACAACTTCAGACGTCAGGGAAGAGACCTTCGCCGGAAGATGTGGCTGCAAAACATGAAAGTGAAGCTGATTGTTCTCGGGATCGTCATCGTGCTCATCCTCATCATCTGGCTCTCGATTTGTAAAGGATTCAAATGCAAGTGAAACATCGAGTTCGTGGTAAGGGCCTAGGACATCACTACTATACGAAGAAAACGATGAAAAAAATCTCCCTAGAGTCGCTCTTATAATTTTTGTATGGTTTTCGAGAGGGAATGCGATCTGATTGATTTGAAACTATCCTTTCCAGAGTATATTCACCCAAGTCTGAGAGAATATGCCTCGATCGTGTTCGTGTTTCTAGGGCAACAATGCGCGCCGGGCATGGAGCGCTCAATCGGCTCCAGCGCTTCCTCCTCAGCCGCGAGCGCTTCTTCCCACATTCCCGATTCCTAGCACCAGCGCCAGCGCTGGAGCCCGGAATCTCGCCCAGGGTTTCGTGCTTCTCCTTCTCCACGGCTTCCAATCCGATAAACTCGCCTCCAGCGCCATCGCAGGAGCAAGGCGGGCGAGAGGAGCCCCCACGGCGGCCGCCATCACCGGCGTCGTGGATCCGCGCCAAACTCACGGACCTGGGCCGTGATCTCAAGCTGGTGCCGCCGCTGGCCAGATCCCTGGGCCTCGCCGGCGCCATCCCCTTCGTCGCGCTCTCGCCCCCGATCGCCTACGTCCTCCCGCTGCCCGAGCTCCTCTCCTCGATCCACGCCGCGGACGCCCAGGCCGCCTATGGAGCGCTCATCCTCTCCTTCCTCGGGGGGCCTCACTGGGGGGTGGCCATGGCCAGCCCCGAGTCGAGCAGCCCCGTGAGCTTCTCGGGTTACACCATCGCCACGGTGAGGTACGTGTGGGGCGTGACGCCGTGCTTGCTGGGATGGTTTGCGATGCTCCTCCCTCGATCGTCGGGGCTGGCGGTGCTGGTTTCTTCCTTCCTCCTGGCGCTCGCGGTGGACTGGGCTATGGCGGCGAGGGGATTGCTGCCCGGGTGGTACTTGCCGCTCCGGATGCTCCTCACTGGGATCGCGGTGATGAGCCTGGGATCGACGCTGCTGCTGCTGCTCGCCAAGGATTTGCCGCGCAGGGTGGAATCCAAGATCGAGGCGGCCAGGAAGGAGCGTTGAATTGGAGGTAGCCTAGCTTGTGTTTCTTATGCCCAAGTTGTCTATAGTCATGTAGTATGCCATATGCCCAAGACTGGCATCTGTGGAAAACCCTGGTTTTTGCAGTGTATCACCGGCATTTTGAGAATGATCTTGCGTTACGTTCTTTTGGATTGACAGAAAGCTTCCTGAAAGTTGGTTTTAGAGTACGTGCAAACGTTGTCATATGCCCATGCAGGGCATCTGGAATGCAATGGGCTTTGTTATCTAGACCAACTGAGACTCGAGTGACCTCACGGACGACTCGACTGTGCGAATCAAACGCCTCTAAAACTTTTTGGGCATCTGTGAAAATGCGTGGACATTGTCGGTTTACCGCCAATGAAGTTTCCGTCTGTGGATCAAACACTTCTGGAGCCGCGAATGAGATTGAGATCGTCAGGTGGAGATGATTGTGTGAAGCCAGGTGCTGGGACAAAGCGCTGGGACCCCAGAGCTCATGATTGTGGAGTGGTCCGTCCGATTAATCCTTGGCCAGGGGCACCGCCAACGTCACCCATCGATCGATACCCTTTGATCATGAAAATGCTCCTGATTGTGCTTCCTTTCGCATCCCCATCACTTTTGGGCTTTTGGACAAGCTTTACATCATGCTAGCCATCTTGTTGCAACCCGAGTGTTCGTGCAGGCTTTCTGTGTGAAAGCTCCAGATTTTTTCTCTTTCTTTCTTTTTTTTTTTTTTTTTCTTCCTTGGTGGCTTTTAAGGATTTCGCGTCCCTAACAATGTGGTCCTTCGGAATTCTAGACATCTCAAGCTCTCAGCCACATATGAACTTAGATAGATATACATGGGAGTAAGGAGATGTACTGCAAAAATCATATCAAGATTGCTGTGGTGTTCGCTCTTGGATGGTGAAGATTGCAAAAGCTCATAAAGAGGAAAGAACAAGTCCGCTGTTAGAATTGTGGTTGTGTTGTGCGTAGGTTTTATAGGTGCGTGAAGAACGTCGGTGGAAAAAAATGCAATTCATGATCCTTGGGATTAGAAAATAAGTGCCCGTGAGTCAAAGATTCTAAAGTTTGCTGGTTAGAAAGAACTATCTTCTCTATATGCAAAGGGGAATCAACATCATCAACTTATATATATTTATCATACAGGCTATGATTTGGTAGTGAAGTGGAGGTTATTTATAAATATTAGCAAAGCAGTTATTTGTCATGACCTCAAAATTATACAAAACTCAACCACAAACGGTCTTGAGTTTATGATTACAAACGTGTGCACATTTAATCATAGCAACTTTTCTTAAATTTATTCCTCGATTTTAATTTATTTCTCAAAAAGAATTTCGTAACAAAAAACTTCTAACGTCATTTCATCATCATCTTAAAATTTACTATACTATTGGTCCTTTTTCTCTCAATAAAACTAAAATCATCATAGATATGATCGGAAATGTGTTTTGCATCTTTTGATACTCCAAAAATGCCTTGTCTTGACATTCCGGCAGCATATAAACCTTTATCACAATTCCAGCCCGATTTTGGAAAGCCATCTCTTGAAAAATAATTCCCGTCATCCTAAATAACCAAAGCATTATTATTCTATTTATTTATTTTGATAAACTAATTACCTTAAACCATGAACACACCATGCTCTTATAACCCGTTGCCAAAATGATGGAATCATATGATTCATAACGACCATCTCCAAAATAAACACCCTCCCTATCAATTTTTTCCATACATGGCATCACCTGGAATAAATTAGAATATCCATTACATCCATTAAAAATAACAAATAAAATTAAAATTAATTTTACCTTTATAGATCCACTCCTAATTTTGCGAAAAGTACCCATATCCAAAATGGGAGTCTTGCTGAATTTTGCCTTGGTTTCGAGTGGCCCAGTGGAGGGACGCAAAATACCATACTTAGTGGTGTTTCCAAGTGCCAAAGTAGCATACATAACCAGCAACTTATCCGTAACACGCAACGGTAGAAGCTTCATTAGCGACATCGCAACTGCAAATGTAGATCTCCCAAACATTTCCCGAGGAAGTATGTGCATCTAAAACCACGACAGGTGATCAAAATCAAGGTAAAGATTTGGAGATTTTTCTCCTAAAGATATGAACAATGCATGCATGCATGGAAAGGACACAGAGAGCGAGAGAGAGAAGAGAGCTTACCGGGCTGCGAACGACGATGGAGGGCTGAGCGCCATGGTTGAGAAGATCCAGCGCAATCTCCATGCCCGAATTGCCACACCCCACCACCAAAACGCGCTGGCCCTTGAAAGGCTTGCCATTGCGGTACTGGCTCGAGTGGAGCACCGTGCCTTGGAAACGATCCAGCCCGGGGCGCAAATCCTCCGGAATCCTCTCCGCGCCGTTCTCCCCGGTGGCCACCACCAGCCATCGGCTCCTAAACTCCTCCCTCACGCCTCTCCTCTTGTCCACGGTCTCCACTCGCCAGAGCGATCGATCGCCGCTCTGCTCGCGAGTGGCCGCCACCACGCAGCGATCGAACAGGGGCTGGATCTCAAAGTGGCGCGCGTAATCGTGGAGGTAGTCGATGAATTGGTTCTTGGTGGGGTACTGCGGGACGTCGCGCGCGAACGAGAGCAGGGGAAGCTCGCAGTACTGCTTGGCGATGTGGAGGTGGAGGCGATCGTAGGTGCGCTGCTGCCACAGCGACGCGATGCAATTGGCCTTGTCCAGGACAATGCTGGGCACGCCGCGATCCTTGAGGCATGCCGCCACCGCCAGCCCCGCCGGCCCGGCCCCGACGATGATGGCTCCCTCGACCCACGAAGAAGAATCGACGATCGATGGCGAATTGGCGCGAGGAGGAGGAGGAGGAGGAGAAGGAGCATGAGGAGATGGGGAGGAGGAGCTGGAGCCGCTCCGCCCGCCAAGATCACTGTCGCTGCTGCTGTCGCTGGTGTCGCTGATCATCCAGGCTTGCTCCATCGCCTCGATTCCCTCAATCATGGTGGAAAGGAGCGTACGAAAAGGCCAAGAGAGCTGAGGAGCAAGAGGAAGGAGAAGAAAGCGAGGAGCTCTCCCTTGCTCCGCTACTATAGCGTTTATACTAGTAGGACAAAGAAAATGGGACAAGCAATGCTTTTAGAAAATGGAAGCCTCTCCCAAGCCTCCCTCCCTTCCTCCTTGGCCTGCTAAGATTATATAAAGCTTAAGAGATATCCACAATCATCGCTAATATAATGGGAGCCTCACATTTCCCAGAGGCCTTCCATTTGGGGACTGGGAGATGTCGCCACTTGGCAAGCAGTGTGTCCTCTCTCTCTCTCTCTCTCTCTCTCTTCCTTCTCACAATAGTTCTTAGATTATTTTGTCTAGAGCATGAGAATCACGCTGCGGAATTGGCTCTCTCATCGTCATCTCCATCTTCTTTAGTTTTCTGTGCGCGATTCCTCTTCTTGTCCACCGAGCGCTGAACAGGATCGTCACTGCGGGGGACGCCAAACACCCAGTCCAGAACGTTGAGGTACTTTGATCGGAAGACGTCGCGCTCCCGCGCGTAGCAGTGCATGATGATCGACGTCGCGAAGCTGAAGAGCACCACGTCGGTGCGCTTTGGGAGGCGGTGGTGGTGTGGCTGGAACGCGGCGGAGCTCGTGATGCACAGGCCCAGGCTCTCCAGCGCGCGGGAGAAGCAGTAGAGGGCGATCTCCATCCTGCGGCTCTTCTTCTCAATCGTTAGTGCCAAGCCGGTCGGGAACTGGACAAAGTGGAATCTGCTTAGAACGAAAAATAAAAAAGCTAGATTTTTTCTTACAGTTCCCAAGGCCAGAGTTGCGGGGTTGCATCCGTTGAGCAGTCGAAACAAAAGACAAGTCCAACCCCTACACAGAGTTTCAAGCATCAATTTCCGAATGAACAGATCCTAGCTTACCAGGCTGATGCACAATACGTTGCGAGGAATAAGCTGGATCTAGCTGTTCCCAATAGCGACTTTGTTAGAATAGTAAAAGGCCTGAAATCACCATGACAAAAGATGATGCTTTGTAGCAACCGAATTGCAAGTGTGTGGTACCTTTTGAGAAGACCCTGTCGATGTACTACGACAGCGGGGCCGAGGTACACCGGCAAGTAGACCATTACCGATCTCACATACGCGTCTCCTATGAATTGCAGAAAATGAATTAGACAAAGCTGATTGGCATGAATCATCTGCATAAAGAATTGACAAATCAAGCTACAAAACAAAGAGTGGTACCACATGACTTACAGTGCAGGGTACTTTCATCGTCGGGTCGAGCTGAATCTCAGTCCCGTTGTCTCGGTAGTGCTCCTGGATTTTCGCTAAGCTCGTCAGTGGCTCCCGGAGCGCCAGCTCCCGAATGCCTCGGACTACTGACATGTCCTTGCCACCGTGCTTGTTTAGGAATGAAACATAAGACGATGGAAGTGTGTCCGGCTTGAGAATCCACGCGGACCTGTCCGGAAGCCAAAACCGGTTTTAGCAAATAGCAAAGCCAGCAAAGAAATCAAAACAAAGACAAAGAACCTTACAAGATCTGTGATGATGACAAGCACATAAGCAGCACATCACCGTGCTTCCAAGAGACGGGACTAAACAGCCACCCAACCTTCTTGCTCTTGACACCGCACCGAGCAGCAAGTACAGCTGCTCGCATGAGAATGTAAAGCGCCATGCTTGTATGACGAGTTTTGGGCCCCGTCAAGAGCAAGGAGGGGCCGGCAATGGCGCCGGCAACAAGCGATCGCCACCTCGCAGACCTGATAGATTGAAGAACTCGCAAAACTAAGTCATAAACTTTGAAAGAGCGGTCCACACATACCTTCCAAATCCTACCAAGGAAGCAACGAGCTCGTCCACGCTTGTGTAGACACCAGCGAAGGCGCCCACAAAGAATCCATACCGCAAAGTCTCCTTCAAGGCATTGCGAACCAAATGCTTGTCAGCGATCCTCCCTCCACTTGATCTAGAAAAGGCCGAAAACAAGAACGCTAAGAAGCGAAATTCGCGTGGCTAGACACGCGCAAGACAGACCTGAGGAGCAAGGACGCCTTCCTGAGCCGCGCCATCACGGCAAAAATCACCAATCCGCCACGCAATCCAGCTCCAATCGCGAATCCCTTGCCAGCGGCCGCAATGCACCGATCCAGCGCTTGCAAGAAGCTGTCCTCGCCGCCGCAGCCGCTGTCCTTGAGGCCGCCAGGCAGAGGCGCCTGGTCCCTGCCCGCCATGGCCAGGAAGCTTGGAATGGAGCCCTAGAATGGACGCTTCTCCTTTCGTCCATGAAAACCACGAAGTTTATTGGGCACCATGACCCAAAATGACCATAGTGCGTCGCCTTCCACACCCTCTTTGTTTTATTCCTAGAACTTCTTTCTAGATGGTGGATGAATCGCACAGATTGTCTGTGCTTGATAGAATCTTCTGCCACTTTCGCTGCCGCTCAAAATGCCCACACACGCGCCGCGCAAACAATCCGCCACGACGACGTTTACGCCCACAACAAGCTCATCCAGATGTACGGACGGTGTGGGAGCGTACGGGACGCGCTCGCCGTGTTCCACGCGATGCCCCGTATCGACATTTACTCGTGGGTTTTGCTCCTCAATACATATGCCCACAACGGGCATCTTGGAGCTGCGAAGTTGGTGTTTGATTCTATGCAATACCAAAACCTTGTGTCATTCAATGCTATACTGGCAGCGTATTCCCAGATTGGTCTAACCTCACAGGTGCAAGCTTTCTATGATCAAATGCCAGAAAGGAATCTGGTCTCTTGGAACACTATGCTTGCAGCATATGCCCAAAGCGGGCATCTTGTTTTGGCGACTGATTTGTTTCTCGCGATGGAGGAGAGGAACATTGTTTCGTGGACGGCGCTTCTTTCGGCGTACGTGCAGTGCAAGGATCTTATTCAGGCCGCCCATGTGTACCATTCCATGCCCGAGTGGAACCTTGTGTCGTGGAACACGATGCTTGCCGGGCATTGCCAGCTCGGGGATCTCGGCTGCGCGAAAGGGTTGTTTGATTCCATGCCGGAACGAGATTCCGTGTCGTGCACGACCATTCTGGCGGCGTACTCGCTGGTGGGAGCTTTCGGTGGCGCCAGGGAGGTGTTTGAGTCGATGCCGGTGGGCATGAGGGACCTCGTCGCGCACAATGCGATGCTGGATGCCTACGCCAGGAGCGGGGATTTGTGCCGTGCGGAGGCTTTTTTTGATCAGATGAAGGACGTGAGCTCTGTTTCATGCACGATCATGCTCTGCGCGTATGCCCAGAACGGTCATTACAAACTCGCGAAGGAGGTGTTCGAAAGCCTCCGAGAAAAGGATCTCTTCTCAAACACAGCAATGATCTTTGCTCTTGCTGAAAATTCCAACCTTGAAGAGGCAAAGTTTTTGTTTGACACAATGCCTGAGCACGACGAGATCTCGTGGATGACGCTCCTTGCAGCATATGCCCAAAACGGGCACACCGCATTTGCAACAAATCTCCTTAAAGCTCATCAACTTTCTAGCCCAGGCTGCTGGAATGCAGTCTTATCCGGGCATGCAAGTTACGGCCATACGTCGGAAGCAAAGCCATTCTTCGATAACTTCCCGCAAAAAGACCTTGTCTCGTGGAACTCTATCGTTTGTGCATATGCCTTCTCTGGACATGTTGCAAAGGCCTTGAAACTCTTTCAAGAGATGCCCGAGCAGGACTTGGTGTCCTGGAACTTGATCCTTGCAGCTTACGCACACAACGGAAAGCCACTCCAAGCAACGAAGGCTTTCCACCAGATGGAGCTCCTGTACACTCCAGACGAGGTGTCCCTGACAAGCATCCTCCGAGCGAGCAGCCACGCGGGCGATGTCCGAAAGGGGCGACGAGTGTTCTTGTCCCTGACCACGGATTTCGGGCTGGGGAATCTCACCAAGCAGCACTACTGCTGCATGATCGAGCTCCTGGGACGCGCAGGATACGTGAGAGATGCGTGGGATCTCATCTCGGCAATGCCTTACGAGCCGGATGCTTTCGACTGGGTGTGCCTGCTTGCCGCTTGTCGTGGTCACCGAGATGTTGGACGCGGAGTGCGGGTGGCTGCGCGCCTCTTCGAGCTGGATCGTAGGAATTCGAGGGTTTATGTCATGCTAGCCAATTTGTACAGTGTCTTCTATCTAAAATAACCTCGTCTGGAGGTAGTAGGCGACGGTGCAAGGTGTTTAAAAGTCGATCGCTGTTGCGGTGAGCTAAAACACCATCTTTCTCTAAACAAAAAGTCCGAGTTTTTTTCAGAAAACACTGAAAAAGGTACACATTTAGAATAGAACTTTTTACTAAAGGTTAAAAAAATTAGGGTCTCGAGAACCATTTTAGGGTTTAAGATGTCGAAGGCTATGCTCAAGGCTCTCAAGCAGGAGAAAGCCAACCAGGACACCAAGCGTTACTGGTACGCTCGCAACAGATGCTACGACAGATCCGCGGACGACGAGAGGCGCGAGCTCTCTCTGGCGCTCTCGTCCGTGCCCAAGGTAGAGTGGTCCTACTTCGACGTGAAACTCCGGCAACATCAGGAAGAGGATGATCGATTCTGTCCGCTGCTGGATGGCCGATCATGGACACCATCCGGCCGGGCCTTGATCCTCCTCTTGGAAGACACCCTGACGAGCAGTGTCGAGCTCCCGGATGGCTGCATTCTCGTGTCGAAACGACCGGGCCTGGATGATTTCCTGCGAGACATGGCCAAGCAGTACGAGCTCGTCCTGTGCACTGCGCTCCAGCCGGATCACGCACGGCGAGTTGTCAAGCAGGCACTGCAGTGCGAGCTCTCTTCTGGATGGTTCCAGCTCCAGAACCATGGGACGATCCAAGTAAGCGACTCGCTTGCTAGACTGTGTAGTGGTGCTACCTTCCAGGCGCTGGCTGTGACAGCAACGAGCTCTACAACCGCTGGCGACTCAGATCACGTCATTGTGGTGCCGAAGTATCTCCCGGACGCCCGGCATAGCGACGATGGTCGACTCAAGCTCCTTGCTCAGGTGCTGCTCGACTTGGCCAAGCTTTCGAGCGACGACTGGCTATGGGGGTTGAGGCACCTCAAGGTGCAAGGTGTCTTCCGGAGCATCCGCAACGGCGAGCAGCAACAGAGATACAATCTCAATCTCGGGCTGGGAAGCAGCATGAGCACGGCGAGCCACAACCTGGCCTTGCGAGTCGCGCTTGGCAAACCCATCACTCCACTCCCCGCGGGTGATGGAGCGTATCTCCCCCCGGCCCCGGACTCTGGGAGGCCGACGCTGGTGCTAGATCTGGACGAGACGCTGGTGAGCAGCTACCGGGTATCGTCGAGTGAGGACGCCACACTGCACAGGGTGGCCAAGCGCCCGGGGGTGGAGGAGTTCCTGGCGAGCATGGCGAACAAGTGTGAGGTGGTGTTGTGGACGGCGTCGTGGCAGGCTTACGCGGATGCGGTGGTGGACGAGGTGCTGGATCCCGCAGGGAGTGGCATCTTCTCGCACCGGCTGTACGCGCAGCACCTGGTGAGCGACTCCAAGGATCTGAGTAAGCTGGGGCGGAGGCTGGAGAGAGTGATCGCCGTGGACGATTCGGAGTGGCGTTACCCGGCATCGATGAGGCAGAACCTTCTCGTGGTTCCAGCTTACATGGGTGGTCACGGCCAGGAGGACGAGGAGCACCACCTCCAGAGAGTTGCAGCATTGATCACGCGTCTTGTTTCCTCGGGTGCAATCGACTTGAGGCCGTCTCTTGGTAGAAAATGGTAGTATATTATAATTTAATACTCTATGCCAAGGGGCAAAAGAAGTCCTTTATGCCTTTAAGTTCTATCATCAAGAATATAAAAGTATCTTGTTTCTGTTGCAGTTCGAAACAGTGTTAGATTGTCTTATGAACGAAATAGGTGAGGAGAAAGCTATTGTCAGCCATGTTAAGAGCAAGCCTTAGAGAAAAGACTGTTGTTGTAAGACTCCCTCTCAAATCAAAACTTGTATCCATAAAAACAAAGGTAGATTTTGCCTCACCTTTATCTTGCTTTGTTGCCATAACAATAAAGAATAAAGTACATAAAAGAGACTATAGAAAAATGACAACTATGAAATGAAAGCAAAAATGGGAGCAAAAAATAAACACTAGAGAATGAGAGACAAGACCAAAAGGGATGTTACTTTAAGTGATTTTTTTTTAATGTGTGATAAAGAATGTGTTAGTTTACATGTAAAGAGAGGCTTGATCATTTGATTTTTAAGGCATAATAATATGGCTAATCTAAATTGTATAATGTTTTGAATTCTATGTTCATTGTGTTCTTGCAAGACAATAATAATGGTATTGGCAATTGAAGGGAAGGGCACAATAGCTGGAGGAGAGAGCAATTGGAGGCACTGGCTGCTGTTGGAATTGGAGGCATTGGTTGAAGGGTTTGTGAAGTCAGAAGTGCTGGTTGAAGAGTTGCGGTAGCAGTGGAGCTGGAGGCATTGGCTGGAAGCTAGAGCTAGAGGTGTCCCTGGGCAAGGACAAGGTTTCCATCGGCAGCTGGAGGAGATGATGTGGCTGGGTGGTGGCATGAGGACAACTCTCAATGCTTAGGTGAGTTTATGAGATCTCATTTTTCTGTAGAGAGTGTAAGTTTGCTTGCTATCTTGTTTTGCTGGTAAAACAAATGGCAAGGAAATTTCATTCATGTGGTGTGTGTTGTTGAAATCATTTAGCAAGCTTTTGATTTGAGATGGAATTATTTTGGATTTTAACAGACTTTGTTGAATACATTTCTTCCGAGATGCTACACTGTAAAACCGTGCAAGTGGTTGTTTTAAGTCTTAAGTGGATGGCCATGGGAAAAGCTTTATCAGGTTCTAGAAGGGAGTGATTGGAGGGGTATATTTTACACACACAACATTAGACACATTCCAGAAAATGGTATGGGTGTACTCCCTCTTGATGAAGCTGGTTAGGGGTGTGGAGGGCCATATCAATGCTGTTTAAAGCAGGTCTTTGAGCTGGACAAGAAAATGTTAGAAAGGTACTCCGTGTTATAGCATAAATGGTGATACATGCATATTAAAGTGGTCATACTCCATCACCCACCTGATACTTTGATGGCACATTGATTGTGAGTTCATTTTTATGTTTTAATGGGCTTTTGTATGAATCCCTTTTTTTCTGCAGGCCATTATAAGCTCGAGCCTTGGAAAATCTATGCCATGCATCAGCTTTATATAGTCTCATATTGCATAGCAAATAGGAAGTCATTTTCAATATACATACACATATATAGTACCACTCTAGAAATATGAGAGGTATGTGCTCAAAAAAGTTTAATAGCATTGAAGCCAATTTGAGCACAACCTAGCACGGGTTGGAACCTTTATATAATACGTTCCTGCAATTGGGTCTACCATTCTGGCCTTCCCACCAGCTGGCAAACGCTCAGAATGAGTTGTTAGGTCAGCTCGTATCACAAAATTCATGTACTAAGATCATTCTATTGTTGAAGGATGAACTCCCAACTGAATTTTACTTATTAGAGGTATGTCTGTGCAACTTTGAATTTTTTCTCGTGGTAGCATCTCAAAACAGTCTTATAGCCTTGAAGTAGATCTGAACAAACCCTTGAGGAGTACAAGGTGCTACTCAACCTTACCATAGAGTGTGACATTGTGGATGTCCAACAAAAGCCCATGCCCTTGTTGTGCTTCACTGGCAAGACATAGACAATATATGCAAGATTGCTTCCATGTCAAACTCCTTCACAAAGATTTCCATGGAGCCACTCAATCACAGCATACCAGCCATATTCAACCACGACCATGGATCCAGGTTCTCATCAATCATCTGTGCTTGTGAATTCTAGTTGAACCAAAGTTCAATGTTGCAATTGTAGTTCTTTGGTCTCTTTGGTCACCTCTTGTGGTTCCTTGCTCGAATGCGAAGGGCCAGATATATTTCTCCTCCCTATTCATGTATGCTTTGAAGAAAACATTCATGAATCTCAATTTGGATATTATGCTCTTTTATAAGATTGTTTTTAATTACTTTCCTCTTGTATAATCTTTGATTACAAAGAAAAAGTGTTAGGTGTGATTTCAAGCTCAATTTCACTCCTATGACCAGTCTTTAAGGCATTAATGAAAATTCTATTTTAACTTTGTATTTTTCATGAAGCTCTCCAAACTGATTACATACAAAAAATTGGACCCAATTTAACAAAGTCACAAAACTTGTGAATTGCCACATGCTTTCTGCTTAGGGTGCTAAAAAATTTATCAATTGTGTCTTGGATCATGGAAGTCATTTGATCCAAATGGGAGTAAGTGATATGCCTGTAAGTCTGTCAAGTACTTTTTCTTCGGCGTTACGTGAATGGTTTTGTCTCAAGGTGGTAGCAGCGAATCAACTTGGAGGGATCCGCACATGGGACGCAGTGGCAGGGTAAAAGAAAAATGATGAGAAACTGAAATGCAGTCCTTGTGGATTCACAGGTACACATCCTCGGCAGCTGCATTCGAGGATCTGGTTGGGTCACTGATGAAAGGAAGGTTTGCCGATTTTGTGGTGTTGTCCAAGTCTCCCTTTCCACAGGGCAGTTTTTCGTCGAGTGGTAAGGCGTTCCTTTCTTAAGCGTTGTGCTATTTGAGAAAATACAGTGCATCGTCGCCGTCGATCAAACACCACCGCAGCCATGTAGTTAAATTCGGTAGAAAAAGCTAGGGTTTGTTTCTAACAAAGCTTGTCAAAGAGAGAAGAGTGATGGCGGTGGTAAGTGAGTTTAGGGAGGAAGATTGCAAAGAGCTTCTCAGCATTCATATGTTGGGGCAGCGAGGTTTCGAGAAAGGTAGGACGCTGGGGTGTGGCGGCCAGGGGCATGTATTCGTGCTCCACAATCTGGACGGTCACAAGTCATATGCAGCCAAGGCATTTCGATCAGGGAGCGACGCTGAGAGAGAAGTTGGGATCATGGCCAAGCTCCGGGGCTGCCCTGGAGTTGTCTCCTTCAAAGATTTCATCAAGGAGAGAGATGGAGGACAGTGTTTTGGGAGTATTATTATGGAACTATGTGGATCTAGTCTTGCTGATCGCTTGCGCGTTTCCGGGCAGATGAGCGAAGAAGAAGCAGCTCAGATTATCAAGCAGCTGGCAGAGACCCTCAAGGAGATGCATTCGAGAGGCATAGTTCACCGGGATCTCAAGCCGGGCAACATCCTTTTCAAGCTAGACGCGCGCGACAAAGTGGTGATTAGTGACTTTGGTATTGCCACAGACGACCCTGAGGAGATGTCGCAGTACTGTGGCACGGCAAAGTACATGGCACCCGAGGTGGCAGAGAACAAGGATGGGAGCTTCTACACAGCAGCTATCGACGTGTGGGGACTTGGAGCGATTTTATACGAGATGCTGGGAAAGGGAGGATATCAGCCGAGTGAAGCATTTGATCGTGTGCGACAGGGGGCATCCCCGGTTGGTCCTTTCTCGTTTGTAGCGGAGGATCTCCTTGAGAAGATGCTGGCTGTGGATCCGAAACAAAGGCTGACAGTCGATCAGGTTCTACAACACCCATGGATTGTCAAGCTTTGCAGAAGCAGCAGCAGTAAGATCTACAGGACGTGGAGGAGGCCCTGTGGTGCGAAAAGGAGTGCTCCTGGCCTCGACAAGGACTTGGTCGTGAAGAAAGTTCGAGCGGCTTAAAAGTGGCAGCAGTCAGTCCGGTAAGCACACTTGCCATTTCCTATTTCTCCTATTCGCAGTTACTAACTTCATTTGCTTGGGTTCGTTTTTGTATCCTCCGGACATCATCGACATCTCTCGTGTCTCTGTGTGGAAATACGTTTTTGGTGGCTGCCGAGAACAATCATGGAACAAAAACGAGATCCAAGCAAATGCCGAGATAGATGCAAACGTGTTACACACGAAGCTATGCCGCTCTTCTTTAAGAAACAAGGGAAGTCTTCCCTCAAGAAAGAATTAAAAAAGTCCATCCATATATAAATCGAGAATGGCTATTGATCACTGCTAATCTAACAATTTCTTGAAATCATTGTGGAACTTCATATCTTGAGATCAGTCGGGAAGGAAGAGTCCGCTTGATCCATGCTTTTGCATACGACTGGCAGGACACCACATCGCGCTGGGGAATTCGATCGACGGCTGCTCTCGCGAGGAAGCTGGTAGGCCGTGCATGACACGAAGACGTGCTTGCTCGATTGTCCGCGAACGCTTGGATCATCACAAGGCCGGCAGCTTGCGCTTTCTCCAAACGCCCGCTCATGTCCGGGATACCACGAATCAAACACCTTCTTGACCAACGCATCATGGGCGCATCCATCGATGATCGTGTTCCAGGAGACGAAGTTCCTGGCCGGCATCCGGAAGAACATCGCCTGCACTACCTGGAGATTCCCATTCTGGGCATATGCAGTGATCATCACGTTCCAGGTGACGGGATCTCCCTCCCGCATCGCCCAGAACATCGCTCTGGAGTCCTCTTCCTTGCCATCCTTCGCCAGCGCCAGGAGGATTGCAGTGGATTTGAGGAAAGTCCAGCGCGGAAGGAGATCAAAGACACGCCTTGCGTGCTCAAGATCCCCGATCTTAACAAATGCGCCGATGAGGCAACTCCACGCCACGGAATCTCTGCCGCCGGGGATGCGATCGAAGAGATTGTTGGCGTCCCAGGGCCTGCCGTTGTGCGCGTAGACGGTGAGCATCGTGATCCAGGAGAACCTGCTCTTGCTGTGATCGTCCATGCCGTCCAAGATCTCCCGCGCCTCGCCGACGCTGCCGCATTCGCCATACATGTAGAGCAGCGCATTGCAGAGGAAGATGTCGGTGGAGAGGCCATGGCTCCAGATCTGGGCGTGCACGGGTGCAAGAACGCACTAGCTGGACGAATTCTTGGTCCTCAATCGAGCTCTTGCGATCAATCGGCAGGACAGGCGCTGGCATTGCCGCATTCTTCATTTTTAACGTTTGGCTATGGAGGAAAATTGACGCCCACCGTCGAGGGAGAAAGTAAGCCTTCTGGCAGGTTTCTCCAGGGATTGTGCGAGCATTAGAGCGATGGAATCCAGCCACTGGCGGTGTCGAGCATCTTAAGGTGAGGATTTTCGTGTTCTAGAGCAGGGATTAGACCTCTTCTCAAGGAAATCGTAGGAGAACCTCTAGTGTAAGCAATGGTGAGCAGCAATCAAACTCAACGGGCTGTGGCTCGCCCGTTAACTCGATCCAGCCGTTGGCAGCGGTCGGATTGAGTCAGGTTCTGATGGCTCTACGTTCTTCAGTGATATTAGAAGCCATGAATAAGTTTGTATTTTTTCTTTGATTTCTTCTCTTTTGTTCTTAACTTGTTCTTCCTTAGGTGGCGTTGCCTTTGAGAGAATATCTAGACATTGTTTTGTCACCTGGAGAGCACAACGATCACTTTTATCTGGCACAGGTTATGATTTACTCTTGTTGTTCGTGTTGCTGATATTAAAGATTTCACTGCAGGTTCCTATACGCGTGAAAGGCTCAACCGAGAAACCTCAGCTCGCTTCTCTGGAATCCGAAATCTCCATGGTATCATATTTTCACACCTGGCAAGTTTCTTGAGGACTGTCCACTTCGGGCTGGTAGTCAACGTCCAGAGAGGTGACCGAATGATGCTCAAGCAAAAGCTTTTGGACCATGTTGAGGGACTTATCCAGCAGCGGGAGATTGACAAAGGGAAAGACTTCTCGAGCTTGAAGTTTCTCTTCAGCCTTCAGTACTTTGGAGATGAGGCTGCTCCAATCAAGCTGCAGGGCAAGAAGATGAATGAAGTAATGGTCTAAACTTTTTTAACATGAACTTCTTTCCAGGACTTCTAACAAACTCTCAAGAGGATACCCTTGGCCACGATCAAATGGAAAGTTCCAAGGGATGCATTAAATTCTCATATATGTAATTATGTTTAGCTAGTTTTCTTCCTTTAACTAGTAGATTTCTCAAACATGAAAAGGAGATTAGCTCAATGTTTGGAATTGCAATCAAACAATCATGTGTTTGTGGGAATTAATCAAGGTATATTACACAATTTAGAACTTGTGAAGTCTAAGTGTACAGCTATAATGCCGTATACTAATATTAGCATAGTGAGATTTTGGTTAATTTTAATTTGGACCACTTGGTGTTATATATAAACTAAGGTTTTTGGGTTAATTGATATACACATTTTCTATATTCCCTTTCCATATTCACACTCACATTATTGGAGATAAGGGGCACTTTTGATTGTCTCTGAGGAGTGTTTGAATTTAGAATTTTGGTTTAAATTTAGTTTTTGCATTGTTTAACTTTTTCCATTTCCTTTCTTTTATTATTATTATTTTAGAATTTTGGTTTAAATTTAACTTTTGCATTGTCTAGATCTTTCTTTCCTTCTAGCTTTTTTCAATTTTTTTTCTTTTACTCTTTCTTTTTCATTCATCTTCATGACAGAGTAGCAATCTCCTCCTCATTTAACTTTGGAGTAAAAGTTGGTGCAATTGTTTGATGTTATGTGATTGCAATTGAACAACCAAACTTAATTGATAGCGACATTCATGGCACATAGTACAACTCCTCTTGCTCTTGGTGTTAATCCTCGTGTTTGGCTTGAGTTCTTTCGTGGGAATCTTAGGGATGATGTGTACCACTAGTTCAATCACTTCATGGTGATTGCCACATATCATTCTTGGGATGATGTTCGACATTTGTGTGAGTTTCCCATGTGTCTCCAAGGGACACCACTACAGTGGTACACTAGCCATTCATAAGGATTAGAGTATTCTTTTGGACATCTTGAAATACATATTCAAATATGCCAACGATTGTGATAGTGCCTTCTAATAATTGCATCATCTTTGTCAAGGGCCATTTTAGTCAGTGATGGAATTTGGTATTTATTTCTGAAGCTTTTTGCTTCATGTGGAGCCAAATATATCGGAGCAAATCAAGCTAGGAATGTTGTGGCCAACACATTGTCAAGATCTTGTAGAACTTATATATGCACTTGTTTCAGCCACCCTTGACGATGCTTTTTGCTTGGCACAACATTATGAGATATCACTTTTTCCACTTCTCGTTACGCATCCTTCAACTCCCCTTCATGTGGGAGATGGTCCTATTCTAATGGAGGTTGATGCTATTGTTGTTTGAGTTCAAGGACAAGGGCGAGGACATGGTTATGGTTGTGATATTCTCTACTAGGCATATGATAAAGTTGGCCACATTTATCAGTATTGTCGGCATTTTTCAGATTGGCAGCCTCCATTTCCTAGGTGAAGACCTTGGTGTCAACAATGTCCTATTGGTACTATTGTAATAAAAGGTTTGGACATCGAGATGCCTCAAGGAAACGAAGAGTTGTGCAAGTAACAGAGGGATCTTACGTGAATAAGTCAGTGACCCCTTCATTTTTCTTTTGGGAGTATTATCAAGGAGTTCATTTAACATTAGTTCATCAAGTGTTTTCTTTCTAAGCTTGTTTTTATAATAAGAGGTCTCCTATTATTCTCTCCGTGTTGGTTGATATAGATTTGAGTTTATCTTCTATTGCTCGATCTATTGCCACACATTGCTGTCTATATTTGCATCATGCGGCAGAGCTAGTTTTTATTCTTTATGGTAATGGCCATACACATATATGTGCACGAGATGAGGTGAACTTAATTGTGCGTATGGGCGATCTTAAGCTTGAGTTGTAGTTATTGCGGATGGTGTTGAGTCAAGCTTTTAACCTCATCTTTTGTATGGATTAATTGCAGCACAATCATACCAAGTGTGACTTTGAGGCTTTTTCTTCTAATCTCATACTTCCTTATATTTCATCCATTCCTCTCACTTCCATACTTCTTCGTCCTTTTGCTTCTACTTCTGCTTTTATTACTTTTGTCTCCCCATTACTTCTTTTTCTATTTCTGTCTTGTTTCACACTTCCCTTCTCCAATCCCTTTGATGGTATTTGTGTTGCAGTAGTTGACTAGCTTATGAAAGAGTATGTTGATCTTTTTAAATTTGACCTATTGTCTGGGGCTAAGATTGCCATGTCATTCGATTTCAATTGGGGATGCTCGTCCAATCAAGGTTTATGTTTGTTGTTGGTCACCCAAAGAGATGAAGATTTTGCATGCAAATGTCAAGGAAATGTTGGAAAAGGGTGTTCTTTGAAAGTTGTGGAGTTTTTGGGTATGTGAACCTCATTTTGTAATGAATCCTGATGGGAATATTTATTTTTACATTGATTATCGCTTGTTAAATGAAGTGATGATCCTGAATGTGTACTCTTTTCCTCACACTATTGATCTCTTGGATTATTTAGGGAGAAGTCATTAGTTCACCAAGTTAGATCTTGCTATTAGGTACTGGCAAGTACCAATGGTTGAAGAAGATATTCTTAAAACTGCTTTTCGTATACTATTTTATTTGTATAAATTTTTGGTGATGCCGTTTGGTTTGAACAATGCTCTAGCAACATTCTAGTGGATGATGGATGAGGCTCTTTGCAATATGCTGAAGGTGACTACTGACTTCATTAATGATGTCTTGATCTACTCAAAGGGGATGTGGGAGGAATATATCCGTGATTTCTGTAAAGTGTTAGATTAGCTATGGGAAGTTGGTTTAAAGCTAAAATAGTCGAAGTGCATGTTTGGGTCCAAGGACACAATTTATCTAGGGTACCATATTTCTCGTGAGGGTTTGCAAGTTGATCATGACAAACTTGTGGTTATTCTAAAGTTCCTTACTTCGAAGTGTGAATGATATGCAACGCTTCTTGGGCAAGATGGAGTATTTTGGTTGTTTTGTGAATCATCTTTCTAATTGCACTACATCATTGCGAGTGTTGCTGAAGTCATCAATATCATCTTTCATCTAGTCGGCGGATTATGAGTAGGTGTTCATAGATCTCAAAAGGTTATTAATGATTTTGGCTTATCTTAACCTTTCTTTTTGCTTGTAAATGCTTCTAATATTGGTCTTGGAAGTGTATTGATGCAAGAGAGCCCGAGTGTGCCTAATCAATGCCATCCCATTGCATATATAAGCCATACATTACAACAAGTAGAGGCGAATTACTCCATGTCAAAGGAGTGTTTAATAGTAGTATGGGGTTTCAAGAAATTTCATGCATATCTACATAGTTTTCTAACGTTATTGAAAGGTGATTATGCTGTTGTTACCTCATTATTGAAGCGAAAGAACTTGGTTGGTCATACTGTTTAGTGGGCTTTGAACCTTTAGATATATAATTTTACAGATGCCCTTTCTCAAGCTCCTCTTCCTTCTTCATTCTCTTTTCATGTTTTTGATAAGCCTGTTATTCCAGCATCTATGGATTTTTTAGACGAGGATTTTTTACTATCGGTAGTTGCTGTACTTGATGTTCAGTGTCCACAAGGTGTAGAGCAAGATTTCTCTTGATGAAGTTTGCAAGGCTCAAAAGATTGAGTCATAGATTTGAAAGCTTTGAAATGGGTTTGAAAATCCTGCATCACTTACTGATAACTTGCCAACTTTAAAAAGCTTTGACCCAAGCCTTGCTAAACAATGCTTTTTTCTAGTGCCACAAAAATAAAAGAAGAAAAAAGGAAGAAGACAAGGATGAGATTTTGCGTATTGAAGATAGCATTCCAGCATTTACATTTTCAATATTGCCTTGAAGATAGCCTTTTTTATTTAGTGGGGATGGATCCTAATGATCATTTACAACTAGTGGTGCTTTCAATCTTTATTCCACAGTTTCTTCATGCTTATCATTATTCTCTTATTTTAGGTGGGCATAAGGGATATTGTCATGTGACTGAGAATTGTATAGGTCTTTTTATTAGCTGAAGATGCAACGTGATGTTATTTAATATGTGTGTAGTTGCATTTGGTGCCAATCTCATAATACTCCCCCTCGTGTTGCAAAAGGACGGGTGGAGTCAATTGTAATTTCCCATCCGTTTGAGTTGGTAGTGTTTGATCTTATGGGACTTTTTCCACAATCGACTGTTAACAATGAGTATGTTATTGTTACTTTTGACTACTTAACTCCCTAGATGGAAGTTAGTGCTCTTGCTAGCACCTCTATAATTGCTATAGGATACTTCCTCCTCAATTGAGTGGTGTTCCAACATTCTTGTCTAAAGCAGATTCTTTTAAATAATAGTGTAAGCAACCAAAGAAAACAACTCTAGAAATAATTCATTGGGGTTCAAATATAGAAAAAAAGGGCCCATGAACAAGAGTGCACCCTTTTTTATAATTGGTTAAGGGTTTTGGGATACTTGGGATTAAGTTTGAATAATACTAGGTTGGGTGACTTCTCGAGAAGCTCAAACTCAAAAGGTTATATTTGGTATCAAAGAAGTCTCAGTCTGACTTTATTGGTTGGTTAGGGGAATCACACCATATGTTGATTGACATCTGGCAGGTCCAGTTTACTTTGGCTATGCTTAACCCAAGGGGTAAAGTGTCAAGAGAGCGGGGCTCTCAGAAGAGCTGCGGGTCTTAACTTCCATTCACGAAGGTGTGAAATTGCAGGGAAGTGTGATGGAATGTAAGCAACCAAA